GGACCTATGCTTGGTCCCTCTGGAAGCGATGTAGGGGATGGGGCTGTTTCCGTTGACTGTGAACCGCTCTCCACTGGGACACTATGTTGGGGTTCAGGCTCTGGCTGAGCCTCTTGTGTAGGGTTATTGGCTGCTGTCGGTTCAGGTTCGGTGGGGCCCTCTCGTGTTGGGGTTTCAAGTACTGGATTCAGTGCTGGCAATGGGTCTGGTGCTAGTTGTTCTGCCAGTTTCGGTTCTGGGGCTGGCTCTGTCTGGGTCTCTGGGACTGGATTCACTACTGCTGTTGCTGATGTTGGCATGGGGTCCGGTTTCATCACCTCTGACTGGGTCCTGGTAGAAGTTTCCAGAATAGAGCTAGGCGTCACAGCTTGCTTAGCCTGGCTGCAGGTGACCATTCCCACCCTCTTGGCCTGCTTCACATAATTGGCCAAGTCTTTCCCCAACAGCGTGGGGATGGGATAATCATCATAGACAGTAGAAGTCCCTGTTCCTGACCAGTCCTTGTACTGACTGGACAGGCAACTTGGCTGTAGGCAAACTGAAAGAGTTGGACTTGAAGGGTTGAATCGTCACTTGGATCTCTGGGTCGATTAAATTGGGGTCCACTAAGGAAGCATGGATAGCTGACACTTGTGCTCTGGTGTCCCTCCACACGGTGACACCCCAATCTAACCCACTCAACCCCACTTGCCACTCATAGCCAGGGATACAACCCAGGAGTCCTAGCACCCTGATCTAACTGAGTAGTTCTCAACCAGGGGTATGTGTACCCCTGGGGGTATGGAGAGGTCTTCTGGGGGTACATCAACTCATCTAAATATTTGCCTAGTTTTACAACAGGCTACATAAAAAAGCACTTGCAAAGTTGGTACAACCTAAAATGTCAGACAATGACTTGTTTATACTGCTCTATATACTATGCACTGAAATGTAAGCACAAAATTTATAATCCAATTGATTTATTTTATAATTATACAGTAAAAATGAGAGTCAGCAATTTTCCAGCAATAGTGTGCTGGGACACTTTTTTATTTTTATGTCTGATTTTGTAAGCAAGTAGTTTTTAAGTGAGGTGAAACTTGAGAGTACGCAAGACAAATAAGACTCCTGAAAGGGGTATAGTAGTCTGGAAAGGTTGAGAGCCACTGATCTAACCCACTCAACCCCAATCGCCTCCCACAGCCAGGGATAGAACCTAGGAGTCCAAGCCCCCCTCGTCTAACCCATTAGTCCTCACTCCCATCCCATTGCATTGGACAGAAATGAGAAGGTCTCTAACCATCAGGAACAGCTTTCCAATGGGGGTGGGTGGGGTAAACCATTAATTTTAAGGGAGAACTAGGCAAATAGATGAGTGGGATTGCTTGTGATGGGGAGGAGGGCAGGGCTTGGCAGCCCTGAAGCTCCTTTCTGGTTCATGTCTGATGTTCCTAGAAGCTCATGCTTCCAGGTTTCAGCTAGTCACCTGTGGGGGTCAGGAAGGGAAATCCACCCCCCAAAAAAAGTTTTGGTTTGAGTTTGGGTTTTTTTATGGGAGGGGTTGTTTGTGTTGTTGTCTCTTCCTCAAAGCATCAGGGATGGCCAATGCTGGAGATGGGACATTGGGTGGGGTGGACCAGGGCTCTGAGGTGGCACCCAGCATTCTCTGTCTCGGATGCTCAGCTGGCTGGTTCTTGCTCACATGCTCTGGGTCTAACTGATCGCTCTGTGTGGGGTGGGGAAGGAATTTTCCCCCAGATCAGATTGGCAGTGACCTTGGGGGTTTTGCTCCTTCTTCTGCAGCGTGGGATGTATCTCATTCATCAGGGTTATCTGGGTGTATCTCACTTAACGCTTTCCCTGCTATTGCTGGGGCTCTGGTGCCCATCAGTCCCTTCTATTCTCTGCCTGTGGCACAAAACAGTTTAGCTTCCCGAGGGCTCTCCTACTTTGGTCTAATTTCAGCCATGGGGTGGTCTTGGTGGCCTGTGATCTACAGAGGTCAGACAAGGTGATCTGGTGGTCCCTTGTAGCCTTAAACTCTAACCCAGGAGTCCAGACTTCCAGACTCTGCTCTAACCCACTGGATCCCACTTTCCCACTCCTCTCCAAGAACGATGGACAGATCCCAAGAGTGCTGACTACCCTTCACTCCCCGCTGTAAGCCGCTGGACCCACTGCCCTCTGAGAACTGGTAAAAGAGCCCCAGAGTCCTGACCACTAGACCCACACACCATATCAATTTTAGGCATTAACGGAGGCTGTCCGTCTCTGAGGGGCGTCCATCCGTTATCTTTCAAGGGAGTTTGAGCCACTTAATAAATCACACGGACCAGACTGCAAATCCCTTGGCGTAATTAGCTTGTTTTGATGTCTGAACTCTTCTCGCTCTGGGTATTGATGATTTGGGCTGCTGGCGGAGTCAATTAAAGAACTGAGCTGAATTTGCTGCTGGTTCCTGCTTGAAAAGTTGGAGCCAGGCAATTAAAAGGAAAAGTTACCTGATTTGCTGAGAGAGCTGAGGGGAGATCCAAGTCCTGGGAGAGGGGTTGGGGCTGTGGGTCAGGACTGGGAGTCCCAGGCGGAAAAGGGAGCTGTGTCTCCAGGGTCCATTCAGCTCTTGGTCTCTGGCAATGAGCAGAGCTATTCAGTCTCAGGTTCACATGGACCCATGCAATGCTGGGAACAAGCCCACTCATTACACATGGACCCCACTGCACAGAGCAGGCGGGTGTCACTACTGAAAGGGGGTCTAGTTCATCACGGTCCAACACAAGGCGGTTGGGATGAGAGACCCCTGTCCTAGGACCACGCTCCACACTCAGGCACGGTAGAACAGACCTAGTGCAGAAATGAATGGGAGCTCCAGGGGGGATGAACTCTGCACCTGACAGCCCACGGAGAGGAGCGGGGGGGGAAGTCACTTGAAAAGTTCCCATGCACCCGTGCACGCTCCACCCCTCTAGTTACCAGGCTCCCTCCCACGTCCGAAGACATAAGGGGCTAGATCCACACAGGGAACTTACACCCAGTGTAACGTTTAGGTTCCTGCTGCCCCATGCAATCCAGAGCCCCTAGGTAAGTGCCCAGGCTCCACAGACCATGCATAGGGATAGACGGGTAACTACAGCCCGGAGCCACCAAAACTAACCAAAGGGAAATGCCGAGGGAGGGGTGGGGCCAAAGTCTGACCCTTCAAAGGGTCGCAGGCACCTATCACAACTGGGACCCCTCTGTGGGACCTAGGATGAACCTGTGAATTTCCCTAAATCCTTTTATGAACCATCCGTACGGCTCTGGGCTGATCCCCTTGGCGGCCCTTGCCCCCTGGGGGAAGGAATCGGATCTCTCCCTAGGCCACGACAGACCAGGCCAGGTATTCACAGAGCCACTAGGACCTTCTGGATTGCACGTTAGGATGGAAGACCCTAGAGAGATGCGGGGAACCTCAGGGACCGAAGACAAACCCCTAGCTGCAGAGCCAGCTGAACGTGTTGGTGGCTGTATCTGGAAGACAAAGACATGGCGGGGAGGTAACTCTGTCAATGAGAGCTGGGCTCACCCAGGTAACTTGCGTGCTGGGGACTGAGGGCCAAAGACAGCAGAATGGGGCGTGGGGGAGCAGGGCATGGACAGGCCCCAGCTCTCACCAACAGGAACTGTAACCCAAGTCTGCCTCCCTCCTACCAACCCAAAGCCTGGCAGCCTGCAGCCAGAGGACTGATAAAGGGTCCCCTTGGGTTGAAAAGGCTGTTTGGTGTTGCTGCAGATCCGGCCTGAGGACACTGCGCCCTGCAGGGATGGAACAAGCGTCCCCCAGGAGTTTGGCCCAGCCGGGGAACCCCAGAGAGAGACAGGGATCACTGGTGCCCCCAGGCCAAGATGGGGAAGCCTGGCCCTGTGGAGCTGGGTGGATCCCTGGGGCCAGCCCAATAAGGGGGAACTTCCAGGATATTTGTCCGCAGGTCTCCTACCGTGCAGGGGCACTGGGACGTGCAGTGGGGCTGGCCCTTGGTCTCTGTTGTTCCACTTCGTATGATGCTGTCCTTGGCTCAGAGACTTGAGCCTGACTTTCCCCCTCCCGGCTAGGTGCCCTGACCACTGGCCCACAGTCAGTCCCACCAGCTCGTGGCTGTTTGGTTATCTGACACCCATATGAGGCTTAGAAAAGACCTGGATCAGAATGTGTCCTCCCACCAGGCAGGACCCTATAATAAGGATCTCAACTGGGGTCTCCTCCATCCCAGGTAAGTGCTCCAACCACAGAGCTCTAGAGCAGTGGTTCTCAACCAGTGCTCCAGGGTCTGCGAAAGACTCAGACTGAAAACGGACTGACCAGAATCCAGCTATATGTAGAGACGTAGATTTCCAATGGCTCCATGCTGCCACTCAAAATTTCCAAAGAAGTCTGCATCGCCATTCAAAACTTTTTAGGAGCCCGCCAATGAAAAAAGGTTGAGAACCGCTGCTCTGGAGTATGCAGAAGCGTCCCCTCCTCCTCCAGGGCTTAGACTGAGCCAGGGGTCAGGGCTGAGGGGGCTGACGCTGGCCCACTGACCGCAATTTAGGAACGCACCAGGTTAGGCAGCAGCTGAGTGGGATTTGGAGGATAAGTGTATGTCTACACAGCAACTAGATAGCTGGGAACCTCCAACTTCGCAGGGTCCTAGAGCCCTGACATCTACACAGCAGTGAAACAGCTCCGCAGCCTGAGCCCCAGAAGCCTGAGTCGACTGACACGGGCCAACTGCTGGTGCCTACTCACTGTGTAAACTCTCAATGGATCTGCCCGAGTCACCTCTGCTATCTGAGTAGTTTTCCCTCTGCACTGTGGGGCTGCCTTAGTCCCGGGGGACTGATCAGCTGCTCAGAGTCAGAGCTGACCAGGGCTGCATCTCCATTTGCCTTCCTGAGAGAAATACTTGACACATTGTGACCATCAAACAGTAGTTAAAGAGACAGACAGACAGGTGGTTGTGTAGGGGGAGGGACCGACTGACACCACTCACCGACCATGGACCTCATCGACAACAGATTTTATTCATTATTTATTTATTACAAAAGAAAAACAACAACCTTTAAACATATGATAAAACAAAAAGAACCTTCCAAAAAAAATATACCACCGCTCTGTACACACACACACACACTCAGCAGGGCCCTGGGCCACACCCACTGTGAAAGGGCCCTAAGGAAGTCCGACCCCCAAACCTACAGGGACTAGGCAGCTACAACACCCCTTAATAACCTTTGAACGTCCCCATGTCATAAGCCAGACAAACCAAGGGGGGTCAGGGCCAGTGATTCCAGCCCATGGGAAGGAAACAGGAAGGGGGAGTGTGGAAAAGGAGAAAAGGCAGGGCACAGGTGCAGATGGAAGAGCCATTGGTGGCCTTGGTAGAGGTCTCCTAGTCCCAGTGCAATTTCTTCACACCTGGGATCAGCTCATTGGAGTGATTTATTGGGGTACCAGGGGCAGAGCCTGGGTAGAGCTCATTGCTATGGGAGATTGGACAAAGTTGAGTGGAGAGAGAGTGGGAAAAGAGGGACCTCTGTCCCTCTTTTGGGGGGGGGGGAGGGAGAAATCACTCAGTCCCCATCCTTTGCCTCCATACCCAGTTGTAAATCCCCTGCTGCCCCACAAGCCTCTCAAAGCCATTATACTCATGGGACCCACTAGGGGGCAGCAGAAAACAGGACAAGTCCAACCCCTCCAGCAGCAGCATGGAGGGCAAGGAGCTATCTTTGCACATTCCCTCCCCACAGCATCATTCACTCTGTGCTCGGTATGCCACAGTAGCTGCCGCCTGGTTGCCAGGTCCCTGCATCTTGCCGTTCACCACCAGCAGGAGTGGGGTATCCAGACGGATCCCAGGGAAGGAGAAGCTCTGGGGGTACCGTGAAGACAGAGAAGTCAGTCAGAAGGGTGGTTAACTCTGAATCCTACTGATGACTGTTTGCACATTATGGGTTGAAAAATTCCCCACCCATCTATGAGGCAGGGCAAATTCCACTGTTAACTCCTACTGATGGTGATTTTCATTTCATGTGCTGAGGTTTTTAAACCTGCCTAAGGGATCTGGGTGCCCAAATTTAACAAGTGTCAAGAGCCCAAATTCCCTAGGCAGCTGTAAAAAACCTGAAGAGCCAGTGTGTCGTCCTCCCACCTTCCAGCAGAAGACTGAGATGTGTTCTAGTGAGGGAGGAGGTGCCCAGTCTCCCAGCAACGGTGTGAAAATTAACTCTTTCCTTGCTGGGCAGTTAGTGGGCTTCTGCTTCCCTGGACGTGGGAGTGATTATTGGGGTAGGGAATTGCAACCCCCCTCCCCCAATTCAAAGGCATTTCCTCTACCCCATAACAAGGGGGCTGGGAAAGACACATCGCCCCCATCATACTGTGACAAAGGCCCCATCACTCTGGCGTCTGTGGCCCTGTAACTGAGGTCTAACAGCTCACATAGGAAGTGATGCACGTAGCAGACAGGAAGTCTCGAGTTCATTCATGCCTTCCGCCACCACAGTGGGGGTGGGAAGATACAACAGGTGGAGGGAGGGGCATGAGGAAAGGGTGGGGATTAACCTTTAAACTGACGAAGAGCTACAGTCCTATATCAACCTGCTATCTCTGGTGTCTTCCCATATCCCTCCACCCACAGGGCCAGGGCTAGGAATCCCACCAGCACTAAGCCAGGGGCAGGGAGGACCGAGCCACACTCACCTTGCCCTGGTGCTGGACGTGGTGATGCCGGAGATGCGGCTCAGGGATGGCCACTGAGTCGCCGATGAGCACACCCCAGCTCTGGACCATGTTATAAACAGTGACAGCAAAACAGGGGCCCTTGGAGTCAGCCAGGCCGAATGTGCTGCCAGAAAACCAGGCGAGAGTGTGAGTAAGGTGATGGGACAGGAGGTGAGGGGATGGATGGATGGTGCTGAGGATGCATAGATGGAAAGCCACATGGATGGCTATGAGAATGGCTGGATGGGTGTACGGAACTGAGGAAACGGATGGATGGAGTTCAGGACACACAGATGGACAGAGCTCAGAATGGACAGAGCTCAGGACTCACAGATGTGTAGCAGGAGAATAGGCAACATCAACAGAAAGCACTAAAGTTGGAGGGATGGACAGATGGTACTCACAAGGGCACCTTCTCATCCGTGGTGAGGCTGAAGATCACCCTTCCCAGCACTACGGCCCCCGTGTTCACACCTGGCTGTAGGGCACTCAGAAGCCGATGCTCCAGTGCCACCTTCTGGCCTGAGGACCCCTGGTACCGCCCATCCCCACAGGGGCCCAGCTGGGATGGGCGCAGGCTTCCCAACATGCTCTGCAGCTTCTTAACCTTCACTTTGCCCTGCAGGGGGAGGAAGGAGAGCAGGGTCACTGACTGAGACATGTCTCCCTGTAGGCCAGCCAGGGAAGGGCAGGGAGCAGGGGAGATGCTCTACCTTGTTCTCCAGGAGACTGGTGAGTCGCTCCAGGAAATCCAGAAGCTGCTGGTGGCGCTGCTGGGGTTCGGGCCAGGTTGGATCAAGGGCCGCAGCATGGGAAAACCCCTCCAGGGCCTCCGTGTAATTCTCCTCATATTTATGCAGCTAACCCAAGTGAAACACAGCATAGTGCTACTGTTACAGCAGTGGGGCTTGGCACCAGGACTCCTGGGTTCTGTTGCAGGCCTGAGGGGGTCTAGTGGGTTAGAGTGAGGGGGCTGGGAGCAAGGACTCCTGGTTTCCATTCCTGGCTCAAAGTGTGAGGGGAGTAGGGAGAAGCCCCTACTGGGTTAGAGCAGCGTGTGCAGGGAATCAGGATTCCTGGGTTCAATTCCTGGCTCTGGGAGGAGAGTGGGGTCTAGTGGTTAGCCAGAAAGTAGCAGTGACGCACACACACTGAGCAGGGCTCATTCCTTCCAGCAGGGGGCAGCAGGCTCAGGGACACAGAGCCCCCTAAAATCACACTGGGACACTGATGCTGGCACTGCCTCCCAGGGGAGAGTGCCCCTCCTGAGCCCCTGACACCTTTCAGTCACACCTTCCACTCCCCTCCCTCCCACCTTCTCACCGTAGCTCTGTTGAGGTGCAGGTCCGGGTTACAGGATGCTGTAGGATCCACCTTTTCCTAGTGTGGAGAGGAAATCAACATCAGAGCGCCCCCTGCTGAGCCTTCTGCCCTGCTCCCTGCAGCACAGGGCTCCCTTGCAACCAGCAGAAGACAGGGCAGTACCTACCGCCTGGGCATAGGCACTTAGGGCCTGCTGGGAGATACTGGGGTTCTGGCCGGTGTTGAAAAACAGCGAGAGGTAGGCATTTCCCAAGATGTCTGCGGCAGAGAGACACAGAGGTTAGCACGGAGAACACACGGACATCAAAGAAGATGAACAGCTGGCTGGTTGGAGGCATATAGCTGTGAATAGAGGATTAAATGGATGACTACAGCTGAGGATGGGTGGAGAGATGGTTATAGCTGAGGATGGACAGACTGAGGCATATAGCTGAGGGGAATGGATGGCTACAGCTCAGGATGGAGGGATGGCGGGACATTGAGGATGCAGGTTGAATGGATGGAGGGATGGATATAGCTGAGGATGGTGGGTTGAATGGAGGGATGGTGAGACATAGCTGAAAATGGAGGATTGAATGTAGGGATATTGCTGGGGTACATTATCCTCCCCCCAGAGTCAGGTGAAGGGCAGGAAGTTGCAGAGCATACTGAGAAGCCTGAGCCCTTCCCAACTGGTACAATGTTGGGTCCCAGTGTCCCTTGAAGCAGGGAGTTAACAGGAGCGGTGCCTGGGGGCGGGAAAGGAGCTGTCACTCACACCACGAGCGGCCATCCCGCATATCCATCTGGACAGCCAGCTTGGCCTGCCGGACACTGTCCATGACATTCTGGGCGTGCTGCTCTGTGCTCTCGGCTCGCAGCTGCCGCAGCACCATCGACAGATTCTGCAGCGAGACCTTGTTCTTCCGCTGTGGAGGAGACACGGAGCCAGGGTCAGCGACTCAGCCCGGCTTCTCACCTCCCCTCCTCTGCCTTCAGATCAGCCAGCCTGGTCTCTCCTTCCCTCCGCACCCCTCAATCGGCCCTTCGGCCCAGCCAGCCCTGTCTCCCCTTCCCAGGATCAGTCCCTCAGCCCAGCCCCCACCTCTCCCCCCAGATCGGCCCCTTGGCCCCAGCTACCCAGCCCTCCAATGGGCAGCTGGGTCTCTCCCCTTTCTACCCCTGGTATTGGCCACCCCAGCCCACCGGTATGCATGGAGGTGGAACTCACATGCCCCAGGGCCCCAGAGAAGCAGGTGTGGGCTGCTGTGATGTCACCCTTTTTCCAGTAGGCCTCGCCCAGCTGGTTCCAGGCCTCCACCAGCTCCGGGTCCAGCTTCACAGCCTTGGCCAGCAGCTCCTCAGCCTCGGGATTGTAGTCAGGTGTAATGTTCAGAGCCTTCCCCTTCAGCATCAACGCCTGAGCCCGGCCCTGGGAACAGCCTGGAGAGATAGAGCAGCAAAGGGAGGGCATAGCCTGTGGCTCAAATCCCCTCCGGCCCCAGGGCATTGGGCTGGCTGGGTCAGGGAGTGAGGAATGTGGCATGAGGCCTTTCCCTTCTAGGGAGTGCCAGCTCCAATCCAGCCCCAGGGGGCCCTAGGTCTGGCTGGCTCATGGGGGTGGGGAATGGGATACCAGGTTTTCCCCTCTAGGGGAGGGCTTGCATTTCCCTCTTATACCCGGTTACCATCTATCTCGCCCATCTGCTGTAGTGTTTTCTCCATTTCCTCCACCACGTCCTGCTGCTTTCTCCCAGCATCCTCCATGCTGTGGCTTTCAAAGTAGTGATCCCGGAAATAGTACAGGCCATCGACCAATTCCTGTGAGGATGAGGGACAGGTGGATGAGAGAGGCAGGGGTGGGAAGGAGCACATCAGTAAACTACACCCTAGCAGCAGCTGCCTAAGGGGGCATGTAGCCTGGCAGTTAAGGCACTGGACTAGCACTCAAGAAACCTGCGTTCAAAGCCCAGTTTTACCGGAGACTATGCCTGTAACCTTGGGTAAGTCAGTAGGCTAGGAATTTCAAAGGAGCCTAAAGGAATGAGGCCCCCAAATGACACTGAAAGCCAACTGAGCTCCTAACTCCTTTGGCCTCATTTGCAAATCCCTGTAACTGAATCTCTCCATGCCTAGGTTGGGATTTTCAAAGCTGGCTAAGGAATCTGGAAATCAGTTCCCATTATTATATGTATTACCATAGCGCCTAGGAGCCCAGTCATGGCCCAGGGCTCCTTTGTGCTAGATGCTGTACAAACACAAAAAAGAAAAGGAGGACTTGTGGCACCTTAGAGACTAACCAATTTATTTGAGCATAAGCTTCTGAAACCTGTACAAACACAGAACAAAATGGCTGTCCCAGCTCCAGAGAGCTAATTCCTGGGAACTGGGCTTCCCAATCCAATACGCTGTTCTGATCTCATCAATTTTAGATGACAAGCTCTTCAGGGAGGCATTGTCTCACTGTGGGTCTGTGCAGCATCCGGCACAATGGACCCTCACTTCAGTCAGGGTCTTGGCAGCACCTGGCACAACAGGATTCCGATCTTATTAGAGGTCTGTGCGGTACCTGCACAGCGAGGCCATGATCACACTTGGGTATCATTCTAAGTGCCCAGAGGATCAATCTGTAGATATGAGCCCTATCACCAGACGTACAGGCCTCGCATACTGCAGCCTCTCATGGCTTTCACCACGGTTATTATTAATAATATGTCTTATGGTAGCTCTTGTCCAACGTCAGAGCGCACATTGTGCCAGGCGCTGCACAGACCCCGACCGAAATCAGGGCCCCCACTGTGCCGGGCGCTGCACAGACCCCCGACCGAGATCAGGGCCCCCACTGTGCCGGGCGCTGCACAGACCCCCGACCGAGATCAGGGCCCCCACTGTGCCGGGCGCTGCACAGACCCCCGACCGAGATCAGGGCCCCCACTGTGCCGGGCGCTGCACAGACCCCCGACCGAGATCAGGGCCCCCACTGTGCCGGGCGCTGCACAGACCCCGACCGAGATCAGGGCCCCCACTGTGCCGGGCGCTGCACAGACCCCGACCGAGATCAGGGCCCCCATTGTGCCGGGCGCTGCACAGACCCTGACAGAGGCCCCCTATTGTGCTGGGCACTGCACAGACACAATGGGAGACAGACCCTGCTCTGAAAAGCTCCCCTGTCTAAACAGGCAAAGGAATGACCATCTCCCCATTTTATAAACAGGGAAAGTGAGGCACAGAGGGGGAAGTGACCTCCCCAAGCTCAATGGTGGAAGTGGAAATGGGACCCAAGTCTAGTGCCCCAGATGGCCTCTTAAAGCCCCAAATCTCAGTGACCCTAACACAGTCAGATTCCTCCCCCCTCCATCTGCTAATGATTTTAATTACAAACCCAATACACAGTTGATAAAGGCAGTGTACAAATGTTACATCCCAGGGCATTTTACAGGCTGTTTCCCATTACAGGCCTGTTATTTGCACCCATCTTGGGCTGGGGACTTTAAAGAGCAAAAGGAAAATGGCTAAACCCACCCAGATGCTGAGAGAGAGGGTGCAGGGAAAAACACATGACAAAGGGAAGAGGTTAATTCACACACAGGGATTGCAAAAGCAGAAGGCACTGTAAGGGAGATATAGGGCAAGGCTCTGTGTGTGTGTCTGTGCATGTAACAAAAGGATTTGTGTGTGTGCACCTCTTTGTGTTTGTGCAGGAATCAGTGTGTGTATCCGAGTGGATGCGCAGTGATCAGTGTGTGTGTCATTGTGTGGGTGCATCGTGTGCGAGCAGGGATCAGTGTGTGCGCAGGGATGAGTGACGGGGTGTGTGTGTGTGTGTGTTCAGGGAACAGTGTGTGTTTTTGTGCAGGGATCAGAATGTGAGTCGTGTTTCATTGTGTGTGTGTGTGCGCACGCAGGGATCAGTGCACGTGCATCGGTGTGTGTCTGTGCTTTGCTCGTGTGTGCACACTGCTTTGTGTGTCTGTATGTGTGTGCATATCTGTGTGCGTATCGGGCGATCGGTGTGTCTGTGCCTTGCTGTGTGTGTGTCTCACAGCCCGCAGGAGCCGGCAGACGCAGAGTTCGCCCCCCCGGCCGTGGCCACTCAGCCAGGCAGCAGCCCCCCCGGTACCTGCAGGGTTTGCAAGGCCTGGCGGCTTCCTCCTGCTCCCTCCTCAGCCATGTTTGCGAGCTCCGCCCCTCCCTCCGCCTCGGCGCCTCCGCGCGCTCCGGGCTGGGCTGCGGACCGAGCAGGGACATCTACAGGGTCGGCGGGGGAACGCTGCACAGCGCCGCTGGCTCTCCCTCCCCCCGCACCCGCAACCACGCCCTTGCCACACCCCCCCCACACCAGCCCCTGCATCGCAACACCCCCCAGACACACAGCCCCTGCAATCTTTAAAAAAGGGAAGAAGGAGGATCCTGGGAACTACAGGCCAGTCAGCCTCACCTCAGTCCCTGGAAAAATCATGGAGCAGGTCCTCAAAGAATCAATCCTGAAGCACTTGCATGAGAGGAAAGTGATCAGGAACAGCCAGCATGGATTCACCAAGGGAAGGTCATGCCTGACTAATCTAATCGCCTTCTATGATGAAATTACTGGTTCTGTGGATGAAGGGAAAGCAGTGGACGTGTTGTTCCTTGACTTTAGCAAAGCTTTTGACACGGTCTCCCACAGTATTCTTGTCAGCAAGTTAAGGAAGTATGTGCTGGAAGAATGCACTATAAGGTGGGTAGAAAGTTGGCTAGATTGTCGGGCTCAATGGGCAGTGATCAATGGCTCCATGTCTAGTTGGCAGCCGGTATCAAGTGGAGTGCCCCAGGGGTCGGTCCTGGGGCCGGTTTTGTTCAATATCTTCATAAATGATCTGGAGGATGGTGTGGATTGCACTCTCAGCAAATTTGCAGATGATACTAAACTGGGAGGAGTGGTAGATACGCTGGAGGGGAGGGATAGGATACAGAAGGACCTAGACAAATTGGAGGATTGGGCCAAAAGAAATCTGATGAGGTTCAATAAGGATAAGTGCAGGGTCCTGCACTTAGGACGGAAGAACCCAATGCACAGCTACAGACTAGGGACCGAATGGCTAGGCAGCAGTTCTGCGGAAAAGGACCTAGGGGTGACAGTGGACGAGAAGCTGGATATGAGTCAGCGGTGTGCCCTTGTTGCCAAGAAGGGCAATGGCATTTTGGGATGTATAAGTAGGGGCATAGCGAGCAGATCGAGGGACGTGATCGTTCCCCTCTATTCGACATTGGTGAGGCCTCATCTGGAGTACTGTGTCCAGTTTTGGGCCCCACACTTCAAGAAGGATGTGGATAAATTGGAGAGAGTCCAGCAAAGGGCAACAAAAATGATTAGGGGTCTGGAACACATGAGTTATGAGGAGAGGCTGAGGGAGCTGGGATTGTTTAGCCTGCAGAAGAGAAGAATGAGGGGGGATTTGATAGCTGCTTTCAACTACCTGAAAGGGGGTTCCAAAGAGGATGGCTCTAGACTGTTCTCAATGGTAGCAGATGACAGAACGAGGAGTAATGGTCTCAAGCTGCAGTGGGGGAGGTTTAGATTGGATATTAGGAAAAACTTTTTCACTAAGAGGGTGGTGAAACACTGGAATGCGTTACCTAGGGAGGTGGTAGAATCTCCTTCCTTAGAGGTTTTTAAGGTCAGGCTTGACAAAGCCCTGGCTGGGATGATTTAACTGGGAATTGGTCCTCCTTCGAGCAGGGGGTTGGACTAGATGACCTTCTGGGGTCCCTTCCAACCCTTATATTCTATGATTCTATGATTGCTCTGCACACACACCCAGCTCTTACACTGCACCCCCCACAGACCCGCATTGCTCTGCACACACACACACAGCTCCTGCACCCCTCCACACCCAGCTCTTACACTGCACCCCCCACAGACCCGCATTGCTCTGCACACACACACACAGCTCCTGCACCCCTCCACACCCAGCTCTTACACTGCACCCCCCACAGACCCGCATTGCTCTGCACACACACACACAGCTCCTGCACCCCTCCACACCCAGCTCTTACACTGCACCCCCCACAGACCCGCATTGCTCTGCACACACACACAGCTCCTGCACCCCTCCACACCCAGCTCTTACACTGCACCCCCCACAGCCCCTGCATTGCTCTGCACGCACACACAGCTCCTGCACCCCTCCACACCCAGCTCTTACACTGCACCCCCCACAGCCCCTGCATTGCTCTGCGCACACACACACACAGCTCCTGCACCCCCCCACAGCTCCTACATTGATCTGCACACACAGTTTTTACACTGCACCCCCCACAGCCCCGCATTGATCTGCACAAACACACACCCAGCTCCTGCACTGCACCCCCCACAGACCCACATTGATCTGCACACACACACAGCTCCTGCACCCCCCACAGCCCCTACATTCATCTGCACTCACATAGCTCCTGCACTACACCCCCACACACACACAGCCCCTGCATTACTCTGCACACACAGTTCCTGCACTGCACACACACCCCCAGTCTCTCTTCTGCACCCTCCGCCCAGAGCCCTTGCATTGCTCTGCACACACCCAGCTCTTGCACTGCACTCCCCACAACTCCTGCATTGCTCTGCACACAGAGGGCTCCTGTACTGCACACCACCACCGCCACTACCCCTGTATTGCTCTGCACAAACATACACAGCCGATTGCTCCCTCCCCCCACAGCTCCTGTATTCCTCCCCCCCCCCTTCCACACACAACCCCTACATTCACACACACACACTCACACACAGTTCTGGCATTGGTCCCCACACCTCCCCCCATTTACCAGCCCTCTACAGCCGAGCCTGGGGTCTCCACACTGCCCACCTCGCCCACTCCAGGGATCTCTTTTTAATTCCATGCCCTGCTAGGGTTGCCAATATCCATGTTTCTCCAGGATCATCCCTTCGTAGCTGCCCTGGGAAGTCGGTCTGGGAGCCTGGTACGTGCTGCCAGCTGTCCAGTGTGACGGTCTCAGGACCATTGCGGCTGTCCCATGTTTTTGCATCTCAGAGGTGGCAGCCCTACAAACCTCCCAATAGTCTTGGGTTTTGTGGGACTGTCCTGCTTTGATGCCAAGCCCCATGTCCCAGTTGAAGCAGCTCCTGTCCTGGGGCTGGCTGGGCTCGGTTCCCTGCTCCAGGCATTGTGCCCTGACTCCTGGTGCATGGGGTTGAAGTTGTGACTGGTTCCCCCTGTGGTGCCACCTGGAAGTGGGGTTCCACTGAACCCTCTGACCCACCAGCCTGGGCTCCCTCTCACACTATGCTGCTGTGATAAACTGTAGACCACTCCCAGACTTACACTCTTACCAGCATTTGCACAGGCAGGGACACACCCAGCTGCAGTTACATGCAGGCTGACCAAACAATAGAGAGGCTACAGCCAAGGTACCCTCAGCTTCCCAACTTAGGACGCCAGAGCTGTACTGCTGTGCCCTGGTCAAAACTCCGACCAGTATGAATTTATTACCTGGAGAGGATGTGGAGAGGAATATGCAACAAACTTGTGTTAACCAAGTTGAAATTTTTCCCCAGACATTTAGTTAAAGGCTCATTGGTTTAGATTAAAACATAAAACAAGTTTATTAACTACAAAAAGATAGATTGAGTGATTATAAGGGATAGCAAAAGATCAAAGCAGATTACCTAGTAAATAAACAAAAATGCAAACTGATCCTAAGATACTAGAAAGACTGGATATGAATTAGCTATTTCTCACCATGACTGATGATACAAGCAGGCTTGCAGTTGTCAAGGCACAAGCTGCAGTTGTCAAGGCACAAGCTGCACTTGCTTTGCAGCTTGGGCTCCCGAACCCCACTCCAAGTCCTTTTCTTCCAGAGCTTCTCTCAGGTGTTGAGTTGTGGGGGAGTGAAGAACCATAGATGTCACTCCCTGTCTTATATAGATTTTCCATATAGCGGGAACCCTTTGTTTCAAACTTGGGTCTCAGACCAGTTTGTGGAAAAATACAGGTACCCAAATGGAGGTCAGAGTCATGTGGCCTGGTCACATACCCTTGCAGAGTCATAGCAGCCATTACTTACAGGTTGTCTGGAGCGTTCTCAGGAAGGCTCACCAGGTGGGAAATAAACTTCTCCTAAGGCCTGTTGTTTTTCCTAATGGCCCATTACCCTGAATAGGCCCTTCCCAACTATCTAGACTGGAAGCATCTTCCGGAGTGGGTGTCACCCAGGTGTAACTACATTTGAAATACAGATACATAGTCAATATCCATAACTTTAGACACAAAAATGGTAATAGGATAGGATAATAATATTCACATAGGATAATAATATTCAGCAAATCATAACTTTTCCAATGACACCTCACAGGATTCATCTTGTACAAATTGCATTATAATTATGTCATAATGATCATAATCGTCTCCCCATGATGAATATGGGGTGCAGTGTCACAGAAGCAATGCTTGTATTTAGCCTGGCCCCGTCGAGTGGGGACACAGCCAGGCCATACATGGACATCGTTGTGACTCTGTACACCAGGAGACAGAGCACAACACCTGGACCGGGGAGCCTAGCCCAGCCATCCCTGCAGGACAGGAGTTGCCACCATAGGGCGAGCATGGAACAGGCTTGCTCTGCAACTCCCCCCGCCACCCCGCCAGCCACCCACCCTGGGGGCAGCACCTGACCCCCCCAGAGGCCTCCCACCCCCAGGCAGCACCTAGCCCCTCACATCCCCAGGCCTCCTTTCCCCTGGAGGCAGCACCCATCCAACTTTAGCCACTTGAAATATTGGCATATTGGAAATATGACCCTACCCCAGCCTGTGCTGCTCACCTAGGGTTGCTGACTTTCCGATTTCTGAAAACAGGACACCCCTGCTCCGCCCTCTTCCTTGAGGCCCTGTCCCCTGCTCCGCCCCCTCCCCAAGGCTCTCCCCCAAACTCACTCCTCTCCCCTCCAATCAAAACAAAAACACCGAAATCCCAAAGCAGGAATTATTGCAGAAAATGGCATGTTTCCTACCCCCTCTTTCAATCTTAACCTTTATCACATGTTCTGAGGAAAAGGGGGTGTTTGAAAATTTGCTACAATACCTATACTCATATTTGTCAGGGTGCTCTGGGAAGTGTCAAGGAGTTGCTCATTACTCTTGCAATAGGTACCATTACCTATATCCCTAACACTGCACCGAACCAGAGATGCTATAGAAAAGAAGAGGGAAAAGACTGCTGCCATAATAACCCTTCAACAGAGAACAGCTGGGATACTGATAGTTACTACACAAGGTACTGTGTATCAACATGAAATATAAAAAAAGAAAATGCATTTCAGCAACAGAAACCTGCTATGATTCTCCCTCTCTCCTCTATACAATGAAAGCAAAACATGGACTTTTGCTTGCTGTATTTTCATTTTGGCTGAAAAGTTAATTCTTGCCCTCTCCTCTGTCCAAAGAGACAGCACCCTAGCCTTACCTTCACCAGAATCACATTTAGATTAGGTGAAACACTCCTCTCTACAGAGATCTCTGTGCTATACACAGAAAAAGTTCCATGGCTCAGCTACGCAAGTCCTGTAATAACCACAAACAGGCAGTGGGTATTTAGGACCCTCTTTAAAACACATCACTAAGGAAAAAATGTAGGGAGAAGGAGAGATACTGACTCTACTGAGCTAAACCTCCAGCGCACCCCGCCCCTCCAAAAAAAAGGTTCCTAAAAAAGTTAAAGACCTTTAAATAAGCTCTAATACTGACACAATGACCACCCCCCCAAACACACATATACACACTGGAGGCGAGGATGCAACATATAGTAATTCCAGGGTGTTGGGATCCAGGGTCAGATTGTGGTCTCTGTGTTTCTCCTGCGAGGGGAACTGACTCTAGGTCCTGCGGGGAGGGGGCAGGGTCCACGCTCGAGAAGGGGAGTGAGCCTCAGAGCCAGCAGCTGAAGGGGCTGGCTGGGGACATGTTGGTTCTGGGCTGTGTGCGCGGGGTGTGGGAAGGGGTTTGCAGCGAAGTGAAATGCTACTTGCAGCCCTCTCCCCACACCAGGGGGCCAGCGGAGCCCCTCCGCCTTCGGAAGAAGGGATCCTCCCGCTGGGGCTGAGCGGGAGCCTCCTTCCCCGTGGTCTGCCCCGGGCGCTGGGCAGGAGCTTGCTGATAGGCGGAGGGTGGGGAACGCGTCCTACCCCGGCCACTCACCTGTGCAAGACGGGAGCTGGAGGGTTCCTGCCCAGGGTGGGGTGGGGCAGGGCAGGAGCAGCAGTGGGAACGGGAGGAGTGGCAGAGCCCACACTGCTCTGGGTGCGCTCTCACTGCCTATCGCCGCAGCTGTTGCTGCCCGTTGCTGATGCTGCTTCCGCTGGAGGATGTGGCCTGGTGGCAAGGGAGACTCTGTCATGGGCACGTGCTGGGGGAAGCAATGGAGGGGGCATGGCTGCCGGCTCTGTGCCATGATCCCCTTGCAGCGCCTCCTGCCCACCAGCCCGTCTCCTTGGCCCCAGCTGTTCCGGTGCCCCTGCAGGTGGCAACCGGACTTTTGGTGTCTGATTTGTGTTTCAGACTGGACACTGTCAGACCAGATTTTCTGGTCGAACACTGGACACCTGGTAACCCTACCCCCCTCCCCATGATGTGCACACCCTGCCATTCACCTCCGATGATTTACATCCACTCCCCTGCAACCTGGCCTGTGCTCCCCAAGCCACCCACCTCCCTCCCTCCCGTGATCCTTCCTTGATCTCACACAACCCACCTTACCCGTGCTGCCCGCCTCCCACACTGCAGAGACCCTTGATCCAATTAGAAACGAAGATGCAAAAGATCAATTTTTTTCCCTTTCTATTTTTGCTAATCTTATTTCTAAGAGGGTGAACAACCTATTTACAAAGGTGACTTTATACAGTGCACAAATCCATCGGCTGTGAGATGTCAAAACTGACCCTGCTTCTACCATTCTGGGGCTGAAAGATTTTAAATCCTGGTGAAAGTGAAGGGTAAATAATGAATGTGAAATTAACACAGATGAACTTTAAGTGGGGGAGAAATAACTGCAAATGAAATGTACCCAGAGGAACATGCTGGATAACACCGAGAAACACACACACAGGAGGAACACAAGCATAGATATAGAAGCAAAAACACACCTACACAAAGCTATGCACGTACACACCCATAGAGCTACGCACTCTATGACATTCAGAGATAAACACACACAGCAAAAGACCCTGCCCGTGTGTTTCAGAGTAACAGCCGTGTTAGTCTGTATTCGCAAAAAGAAAAGGAGGACTTGTGGCACCTTAGAGACTAACCAATTTATTTGAGCATGAGCTTTCGTGAGCTACAGCTCACTTCATCGGACACACAAAAGCAAAAGACACACCAGTATACACACAGATTTAAACACACATTGTCTTACACACACAACACACAACTATCTAGATTTATACAAACGCACCCATGAATAACTTGACCCACATACATACACAGAGGCAATACACAACAGGGTACACACTTGCATAGATTTGCATGCATACATAGAGACAAACACACACACACACAAATACATTCTCACACACAGAGACAATGATGTAAGTGTAACCCATTGAGCAGAGTACAATGGAACCAGGCCCAGATCCTCAGAAGTATTAAAGTGCCTTTGAGGATCATCTTGGTCCAAGAGCGATGGGATACTAAATTATGCTGTGGCAGGTGCTCGGTATGCCCCATTCCCACATCCGTCTACATCAGAGTCCCCCAGTCTCCCCGTTCAATGGCAGGAGCTGTGTGTGTGTGTGCCCCAATTCCCCATTCTTTCCCTCCCCTCATGTCAAGGGCTCTTTCTGCACTCTATTCTTCTCTAGGCCAGGAGCTGTGTGCCTCCTTCCCCCAAACTATTTCCCCCACCAGAGTCTGTGCACTCCCAGTTCTTTGCCCCAGCATGGCGAAGGAGGAGGAGGGGAGATGTGCATGTCCCCCTCTTCCTCACCCCATTATTGGTCTAGAAGCTATTCAGGGTGCCAAATGTTAAATTCTGTTGGTAGGACACACAAATTAGATAGGGGCACTGTTATAGGGGAAGGGGTTAATGGCTGCCATCAACCAGTTCTTGAGTCTATCGTCAACTGCAGAGTTGCCTGAATCTGCAGTTGTGCTACACAGCTGGCAAAGGCTCCATGTGTCCACCCATCTCTCTCTCCCCTGCATTTTCCCTTTCTGTTTTCCAATTTTCTCCCAAATAAACAGGTTCTTAGCCCTCAGAAACTCAAACATTCCCTGAAAAATTGGAAAGGCGTGCAGTGTTCAAAAGTGATCACATTACACATGTACAGACAAATACACGGAAATGCTATCAAATTGAGCGAGACTGTCACACACAGTAAAAAGGCAATCTCGTTAGAAGAATAAAACTGCAACTTCTGCCATAATAAGGAGTTCAAAATTTTTTTGGAGAATTACAAAATTTTTAGATTCATCCTGGTTTAAATTTAAAGACATGATTTTGGGGAAATGCTTGTTTCTTGTGTTCAGCTGAATCCCCACAAGCTAGTTCAAACTCTTGAGGATCAAATGCCTCACGTTTTCTGGGATGGCCCTGGTTTTGAGGGTCCAGCATGGCATCTCTGCTCATGACATTGAGAATCTGTCCTGACTCCCATATAACCCAGGACCGTCTAAACTCAAAACCACACATTGCTGAATTCAGTTCACACAGCCCTAGCGTTCAACTCCATCTCTCTCACTGCCTCCCAGCTGTTCAGCACAAGAACTGTAATATGTAGAAGACCTGCAGTGGTGGCTGCCCACTCAGTGGGAAAGGATCTACATCTGTTTATTTGGGGCGGAGAGAAAAGAGAATGATAGAGGAAGCCAACATTGGGAGCACAAAATAAGGGTCTGAGCTAGTGTCAGACGAGTCTGCACCTACAGGGTGAGGGAGACATAGTTTAAATACGCTTAAGTTAAGGATTTTCAAATCTATGGCATTTGCCTGTTAAATTCCCATTAATTTTTTGAATGGGAACCGAGTGTCCAAATCCTGAGCACATTTGAAAATCTCAGCGTAACCTAAACGGTGTTGGTAGTAGAAAACAGACAGTGGACACGGGAGAGTAAATTCACAGAAGAGTGGAAAGTAATTTTGGACCCAGCAGTAAATAGACCGATGTTGATAATCATCCGGATCCTCAATTTTGTACAAGCCCATGGATATTACAATGACTAGGAACTTTAAAAATATCTGGGCAGACATTGTATCTCAGACATGAGGTCAAACCCTAACTCACTTTACAGAAAGGGCAACTGAAAAGCCTTCAGATAGCAATGGATTAGGGATGGGATTTTCAAAAGGTGCCTAAAACAGCATATCATCTAACTCCCTTAAGCCTCCTGTGAAAATCCCAACCACAGCCACGACTGACCTGGGCTGAATTCAGACCAGTGGATTAGAGTTGAGAAAGCTCCATTTCCCCCTCAGTTCTACCACTGTCCGTTTGTACAAAAAATACCCAACTCTTACACATCCATTCTAGTTTAATTATCCTGGTTTTAGTACAGCCTTTCCTGGACATAACTTCAAAGAGTCCTTGTAATACAGATCAGAGACAGGGCAAATCTTTTAATCTTCAGGCCCCAAATTCTCTCTTACAGTTGATGCTGGTGGAGAGAAAGATACATTTTCCTTGAAGGTTCATCTCAAATCATCCCTGTAAAGATAAGGAATCTCAGTATTAAAGATGCAGAATGCAGCACACAACTGCCTCTTAGAAAACTAGATAGCTTAACTGTACTAACTCCTCCCAGCTGAGGCCAGCATAGCTCCTACTGCTTCAGCTCAGGCAATCTTTCAGCTCACATAGTAATTTTACAGTCTGGTTACCGTAGCCAACTGCCTAAAGTTTACAGAGAAATAGGTACAGAGCAGGTGGTTTTTCAACCCCATTTCTTTCCCTAAAAGTCCAGTCCCCTTCTGCCTCTTTGAGTGTCTGACCCCGCAAAATTCAGAAGGTGCCAACGGACGGCCAAACCCATCCAAGAGCACTCTGAGTGAAGAAAGGCCAAGTTTCATCTGCGATGACACAAAATCCCACTGCCCATGGCTCATGGCAGCAAGAGGAACAGTCATCGCGGCCACTCTCCCTTAAATGAGCAGCTCTGAAAGCAACAGGATTCTCTAGAGAGATACACCATGAATTTCTCTAAAGAGCAAACCTTTACTAAGCAGTTTCCTTACTAAAATCCTGCAGAAAGGAGTTCCTGTTCATGTGTGCAGAAAGATACAGCTTTCTGAAAGCATCTGCAGCTTCAGGTACTGAAAGACGGCCTGGCAATGTTTGGAAGATCAGTTCAGAGACTGGTTTCAGAGTAGCAGCCATGTTAGTCTGTATCCGCAAAAAGAAAAGGAGTACTTGTGGCACTTTAGAGACTAACAAAATGTATTTATTTATATCTCTAAGGTGCCACAAGTACTCCTTTTCTTTTTAGTTCAAAGACTGTCACTGAATGCGGAACGCATGTTATACTCTATGCGGGACATTTGTTAACTGCCGTGTCTGCCACAGTACCTCTTTCTTGCCCCATACCTGCCCCCATGGTGACATTGGCGGGGGGTGCCAATATGGGGCCATGCTAACCAACTGGATGGATACGAACTTCCAACAGCACTTACATCTGTGATTCCTATAAGGGATCCAGAGCGAGGAGGGAGAAGAGAAACCAGCCAATTTTGTTTTCAGAGTTCCTGCCCCTACAGATACAAGGAGGAAATGTTTCCAGGTCAACGGGGAGAGAGAGAGAGAAGAAGGGGGAGGGGGAAGAGCTACCAACTGCATGGAAAACTTTTCCTTGCATCTATGCCCCTCCTTCATTTGCACAAAAACCAGATCCATGTTTCTGAAGAGTTTGCATGGATCTGCTACTTATTCTTCTCACTGCCTGGGACTTTATCCATTGGAGACCATTAGAACATCAGCTTTCCCCCAAATCAGATGTCAGCTGCAGGTGTTTGTTTCATTAGTCTGCTCAGGGCATGTGTACAATCAGGGTAGATCAGGTGAAACACGGACTGAACATGCGGTTCATCACAGCAGACCCCTCCTAGTCCTACAAGTGGCGATATGGTTGCCCCTCCCACACACAAACCTCCACCCAGGACTCTGAAACCTCAAGTGGTTGAGAATTTTAGCTGCTTCCTCACCCAACTTCCTCGTGTTCCAACATGAGCTCCCCAACTCTACCTACAAAAAGAAGACGGATAAAATCCCTGCATGCATAAACAGGGGAGTATCCAGTAGAAGCAGGGAGGTGATTTTACCCATGTATATGGCACTGGTGAGTCTAATACTGGAATACCGCATCCAGTTCTGGTGTCCCAATTTTAATACGGACGCTGAAAAATTGGAGACGGATACCTTTCTAGGAGGGATGCTTTACGCAAACACAATCAGTGGGATTGCTAGGTGAAATTCTCCAGCTGGTATTAAACTGGAGATCAGACTAGGCAATCTAGAGGTTCCATCTGGCCTATGAAGATCTGGCTTTTCAATAAGGCCATACGAGCAGCTTCTAAGGGCATAGCCGTTCCAGCCAGGGAAATGGCGCAGTGAAGTTAACTCGAGACGCAGTGGGGTGAGAAGGGCTCATGCAGGGAACTATTTTAAAGCAGCATACGTGGAGACGGGGGGCTAATGGTTGAGTTTTAGAAATGGGAAGGAGTCAGGGAGTCATAGTGGAATTACTAGGTGACTTTCTATGCCCCCTGCGAAGCAGGAAGTCAGTCTAGATAGTCATAATGTTCCCTCCTGGCCTTAAATATTGACCCCCATCTACTAGATTTCATTGCAGGCACAAAATGGGAGAGGGAATTAATGCTTCTCTCCATCCTTGATGTAGTTGGGTCTGTTCAGGGCACGTGTCATCAGGTGAAAGATGGACTTAACATACTCATGGCAGACTCCACCCATGCCCTCAAACCCAGCTGTGACACCACCAATGGCAAAGCACAGAGCGGTCTCATGGGTCCGAGAAGAAATGCCTTGAGGGGAGAGCCGGCCCTCAACACCCACCCTCAAGATAGTTGTGTGGTTAAAGTTCTGGACTAGGACATCTGGGATCAGTTCTCAGCTCCGCCACAGACACCCTGGGTGACCTCAAACAAGTCCTTTTAAATCTCTGATTTTGGTGCCTAACTCCACTGGGCTCCTTTGAAAAAAATCTCAGCCGTCAGCTCTCTGTACCTCAGTTCCCCATCTGTAATGCTGATGCTTCCTGTCTTCCATCCTTTATAACCTAAGCAGACAAAGTCAACAAAAATCTTTGTAACAGGGATGGTTGCTAAGCGTCTGTACAACCCCCAACACAGAAGGGCCTCTAGGCAACAGTGTAACATAACTAATAATAAAACAGTGGATGGGCCCCATCAAGTGAAGCATCCTGCCTCCAGCAACACACCTCTGGCTACTCCCCGCTACCCCTCACAGAGATCAGAGCAAGCCCTGAAAGCACAGGAGCTGATTATCCTTATCTCAGCTCATGTAGGCTGTAAAAGCACTCAGTCTCTTTTCTTTAAGGCCCTACTCAGCAGAAAACCCTTACCCTACTGTACTTGGTGCTCAGATCCGGGGTGTTTCATTTCAGCCCATTTTCAAGATTCAGTTACTTCATTTGTCCACTTCACCCCAATCGTTTCATGGGGTTGGGGTGTCAGTCTCCAGCCTCTCCACCACCTGAAACAGGCAAAGAAACATTCATAAAACTATAACCCACAAAGCCTCTTCCTCTGCCCTGCTGCTGCAGCTATACCAGAGATCAGAGTTGCTTCTGGACCCATCTAAACTGAATTCCCCAGCACACCACAGGCCAGTTCTACCTGGGCACATCTAGGCAGGAAGAGCTAGCACTGTACATGGAGGGGAAGACAGCAGGACTAAAATGAAGTCACTTCTGGGGTGGAGAGAGACAGCCAGAGCAAAGTGCAACAGGAGAAGGGAGGGAAATATTTTAGCACAACGATTCTCAACTGGGGGCCCGCGGCTGGTCCATGAAGTAGGGCCAGCATTAGGCTGGTTGGGGCTGTGATAAATGAAGGGGGGGGGGGGGGGGAAGAGCTCCCTTTTATGGACACCCAGCCAGTAGCTATAAAATCCCTCTTAGTAGCTGTTCTCTAATTGCTCTACCTGTAAAGGGTTAAAAAGTCTCACTGCTATGCATAGGTAAAAGGAACTGAGTGGGCACCTGACCAAAAGAACCAATGGGAAGGCTAGAATTTTTAATTTTGAAACAAAGATTCCCCTTTTCTCCCTCTGTGGTTGTTCTCCCAGAGAGAGGGGGCAGGGCAGAGTTATGGTGTAAGAAGCTTGGGGCCAGGTATGAAAAATCCTCAGTATCATACCTTGAAACTACTCATTTTAAACCCCAGGTATGTAAGTAGATTAGGAAATGTTCAGGAAGAAGCATTTAGGTTTATCTCTTTTTATTTGTTTATGGCTTGTGGACTCCTCTGTGCTAACCCCAGGTGCTTTTGTTTTGCTTGTAACCTTTAAGCTGGATCTCAAGAAAGATATTCTTGATGCTTAATCCTTGTATTTTTTTGTTTGTTTGTTTTTTTACATCTAGCAAAAGCCTAAATTCACAGATATAATTTCTCTCTTTTTAAAATTAAAAAAATGTACCTTTTTTAAGAGTAGAATTGGATTTGTGTGTCTTAAGAGGTTTGTGCATGTTGTTTAATTACATGGTGGCAACAGCTGATTTCCCTTCCTCCCTCCCCCCAGCTCTTCCCCGGAAGGGGGTAGGGGGGTAAAGGGCACCCCACAGGAAGGAATTCCCAAGTGCACCTTCCTGGGCCTCAAAGGGGTTCTGCACTTGGGTGGTGGCAGCACCTACCAATCCAAGGTCAGAGAAAAACTGTAACCGTGGGACTTTAATACAAGCCTGAAGTGGCCAGTATTAATATTTAGAATCCTTGTGGGCCCCCACCTTCTGCATTCAAAGTGCCAGAGTGGGGAATCAGCCTTGAAAGGGGCCCAGGACAGAAGACTTGGAGCCTCGAGCCCCGCAGACCTAACCACCGCAGCCCTGCCGGGCAGAAGCCCCTCCAGCTCCCCTGAAGCCCAGACCTCCCCAGCCCTGCTGGACCCTGGAGTTTTAATAGCATGTTGTGGTGACCTCAAAGAACAAGGTTGAGAATCCTTTTTTAGCGGACAACTGGCCAAGCTCCCTGCTATGCTAACAAAAGATCCCATGGCCCTTTTAATGTCCACAGTGAGCAGACAGGATCTCAAATTTTGTTAAGACCTTAAGCAAGAGACCCTCAAGCAAGAGACCCAAACAGCTTCAGACCAATAGCATTAATTTATCTGCAGTAGAAGGGGGAAGAGACGAACCAATCCTGGACACTGAGGATTTAAAATCTGATGTTTACATCACTAAGGCAACACCAGCCTGAAGGCCTCAAGACACACAGGCTAGTAGGTTAGCAAGGCCCAAAAGCCACAAGTCATTCCTACTACACTCCATGATCGTAGCTGAACGCTGGATCGGTCAACACAACTCGTAACAGACACTTGAATAAAGCTGAAAAACATCTGCTACAATCCAAAAGCCAGAGCTGAAGGTTTGACACACCTCAGCCTGCACTAATTGGGGGAAGGGAGATAGGTGATCTGGCAGGTGGGACCATGATCTAACAGGAATACTCTGGAGTCCTCTCTCCAGGTTGGAAATTACAGGTCTTGGTAAAGCCCTTAAAGAGAGGTAGGCAAATAAAACCCAGGAGTCCTGACTCTGTCCCCCTTCTCTACAACTAGACTGGACTCCCTTGCTCAAACCACTAGTTCACACTCCCCCAGAGTTGGGAATAAAACTCAGGGGTCCTGACTCCCAGCCCCCCCCCCCCCCGTTCTAACCCACTACAGTTGACATAACAGCAAAACCATTGAACTCTAGGGCGAGTTTAGTTCCCTAGGCAAGGGATTTCCCTTCCTCTGTAAGAAGCCAATCTCATACCAGCTCATTGCTCCCCATATCTGGAATATGGCATTGGTCCAAAGCAATTGTTTCCTTCCAGCTCATCAATTCCATTTTCAGCCTAAAATGAAGGGATACAAACAGTGGTTTAGGATACACAGACCAAAACCTGGCAAAACAGAATCCAACATCACCACAGCTATGTTAGAAAAGAGGTTTTTAAAGATTACAATAGAGACTGGAGTGTAAAAGCCACTACAAGGTGTGACAAAGCGGGACTGTTCTTAATGTTTCCTCTGAATATTGTGGGGGTGCCTCAGTTTCCCCTATGCAGTTCTTAAGTATCTAGGTGATGGGATAAGGGTGTATGATCATTGCAGAGCCCTAGAGGGCAGGTGTGTGTAGGGGTCTGGACACAGAGAATAGCCAACACCCTGTTTCCTGGCAACTGATGGCCTGGCCCTTCCCTCCTGCAAGGTGAGAGCTAAAGGGTTGGACAACAAAGGAATCAGGTGACCTCCTGTCCCAGGAAAGGGACAAAGCCCAGAGGAGGAGGGGCGGGAGAGAGTTTCAGTTTGGGGCTGGCTGGGGACATGGAGTGAAGTGCAGACTTGGTTGTCTGCCTCACTGCCCCCCAAAATGGACCCAGCTGAGGGGTCCTGTTCTCTGCACCTACAAGCTCTGTTTTAGAACATGTTCCTGTCGTCTAATAAACCTTCTGTTTTACTGGCTGGCTGAGAGTCACATCTGACTGCGAAGTTGGGGTGCAGGACCCTCTGGCTTCCCCAGGAGCCCGCCTGGACGGACTCACTGTGGGAAGCGCACTGAGGGGCGGAGGATGCTGAATGCTCCAAGGTCAGACCCAGGAACGTGGAAGCTGTGTGTCCTGAAGACAGTCTGCTCAGAGAGAAGAGACTTCCCCAGAGTCCTGACTGGCTTTGTAGGGAACAGTTCCAGAGCATCGCACGGGGACTCCATGACACAAGGACGTTCCCGCCTACAGGGGTAAGTAGCAACTTACCAATAATGCAGAAGCTACACTCACTAAAATTAATACAGTAACAAGGGTTTGGCCTTCTCTAGCTCCTTTCTTCCGAACGTCTTCAACACTGAGGCTTTCAGAGGAGCCTACGGGAGTTAGGTACCTTACCCCCTCTTAGGCTGCTCCAACAATCCCAGTCCGACTGCTTTACAAACATTAATTCTCATCCGCCCTGCGAAGTCAATATCATCTCCATTGTATAGATGGGGAAACTGAGGCACAGAGTGGCAAATGACTTGCCCCAGATCACCAGCAAGTGGCAGAGCCATGAATATAACCAAATGAAGGTCAGTCTTACATGGCGCCACCTCACAATCTCTTCCTGGTGATGTAGGGCACTGCTATTCTCCAAATTTTACAGCTAAAGAATTGAGGCATTGGGCCAGTTTTTAAAATGTCAGTGGGCACCTAAAGACACAGAATGAAATCAGTAGGTGTTAGGAACCTACATGTTTCTGAACATTCCACTACATATCTATCTGTATCTTTAGTGCCCAAGTACCTGTAAAAATCTGGCACAGAGAGACTAAGACTGGCACATGGTCACACAAGAAATTTGTGGTGGAGCCAGAAATTAAGCCCATGTCTCTCAAGTCTGCTGAGTCCTCCTTCCTCTCAGCCTCTTCCGCATTTACACTTCTAGTCTCAGCTCTTCCTGACTGACTTTATGGCTTTTAAAACCAGAGTGAACAAAGGGACAGAAAGCAGACTATAGGGAACAATCCTACATTGACCCCAAGAAAACAGGCCTGTTAGGCCACCCATCCTATGTAGCTCCAATCTTCTGTGTTAGAACAATCCTTAATTGAACCCATTGCTGCCCTGAATCAGCCTCCAGACTTTATCCCACTGCCTCATTTGCAGATCCAACCCCCCAGAGCAAGGCACAGAATCTTTCTGGGAAAGCCTGGCTGCTTGCAGCCTATGGTGTTTGCATTCTGTATCTGACATCCTTTGAGGCTTCATAGATCCTGGGCTCAAGGAGTATCTTTCTGACCTGTATAAAAGTGATTGGCTTCCTTTACCTTGGTAGATGCAAAGAGTCTTAAGATGCTACAGATCAGGTAAAGGTTGCTGACAGGGATGGCTCAAAGGCTATGAAGTACCCAACCACCTGTAGCTAATAAGGGGTCAAAACAGATGCAGAAACAACAATATTTAATAATTTTCTCTTTTTCTAGTAACTCCCATTCCAGATTGGAGTGTTTTTTATAATCATAATCATTAATGAATCATGCTTCCTTATGAAGTACTATTCACATTGTACAGTTGGGGAAACTGAGGTACAGAGAGGCACAGGCAAAGTGGCTTGCTCAAGGTCACCCCTGGGTCATCTTCAGAGCCAGTAATAGGAGTCCTGACTCCCAGCTCACCTACCATAAGGCCCCTCTACCCTCCCAGTGCTGGGGTAGAACCCAGGAGTCTGACTCCCAGCCCATCCATCATGAAACCCATTTTTAAAATGGGGTCTGGAGAGCACCCGAGCTTCAGCAAAGGCACTATACAAGCAGACAGGCGTTTTACCACGAGAGCCACATTGGGCTCAAGATAGCCTCTGAATTGCACGGTGTGTTTCAAAGCCAGCAGAGCCCACTCAACTTTCTTCTCTTGTATCTAAACTTCCATATACTTCCTTCAGTGGAGTTTCACCGGCAAATTATAAAGTGGGGAGAAAAGCCAGAGCAAAATTGAGGCCTGGAGCGACGTTCAACTCCCACCCTTTCCCCCAACACATCCACCACACACGAAGTGGTCAGCTTCACCATTACCACCAGCAGCAGCATTTCTGAACCCCAAGTCAAACCCGCTCCCAGCTCATTCCGCACCCCGAAAGAGGCTGCTAGTCCTAGAACACACAGCGGAAGGCACCTTCCGAACCCTGCCCCCGCCGCAGCAAGGACGTCCTTTGTTCAGCCTTCACCGGCTCCCCCACCATGTGCTTTTTCCTCTTAAAGGGACACACACTTGTACATAAAACTCTTGCTGTTTATTATGGTTTGGTTATAGCAGGAGGAGCGGGTCTCAGGACTTTGCTCTCCCTCCCGGAGCTGGGAGTAGAGTCTACTGGATTAAAGGGCAAAACTAAGCGTCAGAACTCCTGGGGTCGCTTCCGAGCTCTGCAGCACACTCCCTGCCTGCCCTGAAACAAGTCACCAAATCATGCGGTGGGGGAGAGAGAGAGAGAGAGAACCAACTCTTTCCACCGCATGCGTGCCTTCGTGCAGGCCTGAAGAGGACACTGCAGACAGACACATAGTATAGTAATTTATTAAAACGCAGGGACAAATCATGTCATCTGTTTCGCCCAGATACTGCGAATTCAGTGGGAATTTCAGGGGTGTCGCTGAAGATCACACAGCACAATCTCACAGTTTAACAGACCACTTTCCCAATAACCTCCTGCCTTTGGCCCCACTTAACGGGGTGACCTACACATTCTGAATTCACCAGTCCCAGTGCCAAATTCCATCCACGGGAACACTGCTCTCCCCACATAAAGTCTTAAGGACACGTATTCTAATCTTAACACATGGGTGGATGGCAAAAATTAAACCCAGAATGGCAAAGGATTCAAACCGAATTAGAGATCTTGCAACTTACCAACCACACTGGCCTAGGACTCGGAGTATAGAAACAAGGATACAGGAAGTATAGTGATGATGAAAGAGAGACAGATAAGAGGAAGTGGTAGGTGGGACAGGGAAGAGAGCGGCTTTGCAATTGGCTGAGAACATAAAGCAGTCAGTGTTATTTCTCTGAATGAGGTGAATGAGATGCAGAAACTTTAACCCATGGCTTCAAAGCATGTGTCTAAAGATTTTTACAGAGCTGGTTTTAGGAAAATTCGTGTGACAGAAATCCATGGTTTTCTGTGAAATCTCAAAGATTTTTCAGTCTGTTATAAGAATGCAATCTTGGGCCAAAATTTGAAAAACTAGCCTGGAGTTTTTGGAGGCACTGTCCAGAAATCCTTATGTGGGGAGTAGATTGGGCTGATATTCAAAAGTACAGAGCAACCCTGCTCAACATTTCTGAAAGTCACTTATTTAGGAGACTAAATCAGAGTTTAGGAATCTGAATTTAGGGTCCTAGTTTTGAAAAATGTAGCCCTGGAATTTTGGGATCATTTTGATCTCCAAACCCCTTACAAAAAATGTAATATCAATAAACATATTTCACATTTATATAGCACTTTGGATTTTCCTCATTCTGAAGTCCCAGGACTGGAAAATACAGAAAGGTACTGGCAGTAGAGAGCCAAATTTCTAAAGGTTGTTTAGGCACCTAAAGATGCTGAAAAGTATCTAAAGTATTTCAAAAGTACCTAGGCACCCTAACTTCCGTAGGAGTTAGGCACCTAATTCATTTAAATGCCTTTGACAATCCTAATATATATCCAGATTCAGAGTCAAAGGCTGTAGGAGGCATCTGCAATGCGGGACTTCAATAACATTTGTGAGTAAAATAAATGTGGGAAATCTTGGCAAAATCTGCAAAGGAAAATAATAAAATCCCTTGTGTACCATGCTTCCTACCAGACTGTGCTCTCACTTACAGTGACATAACCCCATTAACTTCAGTGGAGTTGCTTGCTCCAGGTTTAAACTGGTGTATTTCACAGCAGAATTTTCCTTTCCGTGTGTAGTCCAAAGGTCGCCATTTTACAGGTGGAGAAACAGGCTCAGAAAGAGGTGAAGGCGCAGATCCCCAAAGGTATAGAGGCATATAACTCGCACTGGGAATTAAGCACCTAAGAGTTTGGCTACACTTGTGAATTAGAGTGCATTAAAGCATCCCCGGGCACACTAACTCATGAAGTGTCCACACTGGCAAGGCACATACAGCGCTTGGACTCTGCGGCTGGAGCGCTTCTGGTAATCCACCTCGATGAGAGGCATTACACTTGCTGTGTCCCGGCTGGAGGGCCACGGTGCCAGTGTGGACACCCTGGTCTGTTATTGCGCTCTGATCGGCCTCCAGAAGTATCCCACAATGCCTGTTCTAGCCACTCTGGTCATCACTTTGAACTCTACTGCCCTGCCCTCAGGTGACCAACCATCAGACCCACCCTTTAAATT